GGATTGATAGAGGTAATGATTGAAGGATTGGTCAACATTTTGATTTTGGACGAAATAGCGGCTACCTGAATTAGAATTCTGTGAAATATTTTTAATTTTAAGTGAGGTAAGAAGTCGAAACTTTAACGAAAAWATTATTCCTTCGAATTGAAAATTAGGAAACAACCTTCCTAAATCGGTCCAACTGTTTCGAAGAAAATTTCCTAATCGATTCTGTAAACAGTGTGCGGAGAAAAGTGCGTTGAAATGTTTTGGGTTAAAAAATTCTTACAAATACGCTTATGCCTATTAAGACAATTTAAAATTTTCGGATCTTGTAAGTTCCAAGAAGATTAGACGTTTTCGTGGTAAATTTTTTTCAGCGATTAGGCCCATTTCTGGCTCAATAGTTATGTAAACAATCCACATTTGGTGCGAAGAGAAACCCGAAGAGGTCAAGAGCTGCCTTTTCATCGAGAAAAAAYAACGGTTTCTGTGTCATATTTCTTCAAAGATAGTGCCGGTGAAAACGTAACCGTCAATAGCGAATATTATTGCGCCATGATAATTATTTGATGCCTGAAATTAAAGATCGTGATCTCGRCGAGATTTGGTTTCAACAAAACAGTGCCACTTTATTGAGAGAAAACTTCCTTGAGCAGATAATTTGAAGTTTGKGCTAGTCGTTTGGCCATCAAGACCGTGTGATATCACAACGTTAGACTTTTTTCTGTCAGCATATGTAAAGTCTTAATTCTATYCTCACAATTCCGCTTCGATTCAGGCCTTCAGTTACCACTCGATATGTTCAAGCAAGTCAATTRGATTCAATGGATGGATTATCTGAGACATAGCCACGGCCAACATTAGAAAGAGATACTCTTCAAATAATAAATGCCAAAGAATGTTCCTTCGAATGTTAATAAACATTCTTCATTAAATTTGAAGTTTCTGTGTATAAAAGTTTTTTTTTAATTAGATAACCTCGAAATGGATCACCTTTTTTTTAGAAGCAACAACTTCAGAATACCATAAAGAATCAGCTTAATGAAGTAATTTTTTTCAATGAAAGAGGTTCTTCAAACCTCCAAATAAAAACAAACAGTTGTTTTTCTTTTTTTTTACTTATTTATGTTTAATAAAAATATTTTCTTGTAAAATATGCTTAGAGTACAAACTACACAATAGAAATAATATAATATAGAATAATATAATAATAATAATATGTAATCAATTTAGAATTTCAACAATTTTTCCTCATAACTCCATGCTCTCTTCCACGCTTGCAATGCGCAGCTGTCAGTGTTCCGCTCTTTTACTGCGCTCTCTTAAGACCTAATGGATTTTAGGCATGATTTTGGAAAACTTTTGCAGTTTCTCTCTCATAAATAATTGTTTTTTTTTCGCTGTTGCTTATTGTTGTTTTATCATTTGAGTTGTTTGCTGTTGGCTTTTCACTAAAACTAATTAAAAATTACATTATTACAAGTGGCGCGTACAATTTTGCCAATGGAGGGAAGAAGACAATTATAAATGTTTGCGGTATACATTATTTTTAACTTTTAACTTTTGTTTTTTTTTTGTTTTTGTTTGTTGTAATAAATTATTTACGCTTATATCTTATTACAAATACATATAAAACACACACAACAAATCCGGTGCGATAAGCGTGTATAATTGTTGTTCGTGTGCCTTTAATATTAGGTTTTAATAGTTTGTAAGAATTATTTATTTATTACTGTATATTAAGTATGTAGCAATATTTATGCTTGAAATTGTTTCATAGCGCAAATTTCTTCGCTTGTATTTGTGCTATTTATCGTACGGCAAGAATAACTCGATTGGTTTCATGTTGTTTRTTGTTATTAATTAACTGTTGTTGCATTAATTAGCAGTATTTACTTTATATTAAATGCATATTATTATGCATATTTTCGAAAGAGTTGAAAGCTTCATACATATTTTTAAGAGTTTATGTAGAGAATTCAGGCCAAAAGCAAAAATATAAAAGTAAAAATTATAATAATTTATGTACAAACTTGTAAAGCTTAATTTTATTAAGTTTTGATGCTAAATTGCTTTTATTGAAATTAAAAATAAAAACAGAAATTCTGTGTTTTAAAGCTTCTAATATTTTACAATAATTTTTTTTTTAATCATAAATTTTCTATTTGTCGTTCAATTGGTGGTATCTTTTAWTTTAGATAATTTTGTCTTCACTAAATTTTGTCTCATTGGCATCACATGCTCYTAACGCTCTCTTAATTACATTAATCGTTTGTATAAATTTCAATTGAGCTTTTTGTGCTCCGTTCAAATATTTCTCTCTACGCTTACTACACGCATTGTGCTTGTATAGGTTATATATTTTCATGTTTTTAACAAAAAATGCACAGTTCACTTAAATTAACTTTCTTTCTTAAAAAACATTAATCTTTTGCTTCTCATTTCGTCCGAGTTTAATATAAAAAAATTCTGTTTTTTTAAGTATTTAAACATAAGTTATTGCAATTGAATTCGTTATACATATTTGCGTTGAGAAAAGTTTACTAATTCTCAAAGCTCCGCTGGTAAAGTGAAAGTTTGATGCGAAAGCTTAAACATTTTACGTATAAATGTTTTTCTCCGGAGATTAGGTGACAAAAGCTTTCGTTGTAAACTAAGAAAAAAATTTAACGTAATTTTTTACTTTTTTTTTTGCCAAGCTTTTACGGCATGTTGAAGTAAAGCTTTAAAAAACTTTGAACGCATTTTTTATTGCAAAGCTTTTACGGCATATTGAAGTAAAGCTTTAAAAAATATTTGTATGTGTTTTTCACCCAAAGGGATTTTTTAGCATTTGTTATTACAAATTCCAAAGTGACTTTCGCGAATTTCTAAAATTATATAATTAATCTTAATTTTTACATTAGTGCAGCATATTTTTGATATGAGAAAATTTTACTTTTTTTTTTTAAATATATGTCAAAACATGTATTCGAAAGCTTCATTTTTTTTACTTTATCACAGTAATTTAATTTAAGTTTAGTATTAGAATTAAGTTAAATTGTACTGATTTAATAATATATTTTCTAGTCAAACGTTATCATAATTTGTCCATAACTGAGATATTTTAAGCTTTCTGCAGTCAAACTTTCACTGAAAATGTTCATCAAACTTTAAATYTAATCTCTCAAACGATGTACTTTTTAATGAAACAAATTGAAATGAATTTTCACAATTTTCACAGATTTTGAAAACTTTCACAAAAACTGCACAAAGCACAAAAAATATTTTCCAAAAGAGAAAAGTATTTGCAGAACTTTACATAAAAAGCATTACGCTTTATTGAAAAGTTCAAAAGATTGCTTGATCAACCAAAAAATGTTGCTTTATATTTTTATAAGAAAATTCTTTAAGATTTTTGTTCAACAGATCGAATTTTGTTCGATGTTATTTATTAAAATTTATATATAGCAATTGATAATAGTAATAAAAATATTTAATAATAATAATAGTTATATAATAAAAAACATTGTTTGAGTAAAGTTTAAAGTAGCTTACTTAAGTAAAACTTAAACTTATTTAGGTATACAAAATTAGAAAAAAAACTTTAAGTACTACGTTGAGTTGAGTAAAGAAAAGCAAAAATATACAAAAAAGTGAAATTTTTAAGTGCACGCCGAACTTAAGCGTTTGTTCGAAATGCTACACGCATTAATTACTGCTAAAGTAAAAGGTCTTGAGAATTTTATAATTATGCGTTTTTTGTTTTTCATCTCTTTCTTAATGTAATGTTCGCATTTAACTAAGGCGATTCAAAAGCACTGAAATGTTGCATTGCATACGCAGTTGCACGAAGTAAGTATGTAAAGCTCTTGCGGCAAGCTTTCATGTGGTGACAGCTTTGAGATGTGTGAARGCTTTATGGCGCATTTTATTTGCTACTTTAAATACATACATACTATTTAGATATTTTTGTTGCATTTGCTGTATTTTGTATTTACTTAGTTAAACTATGCTTATTTAACGCTTAATGAACGGTTTACAAAACATATTAATATTGGAAGCGATGTGGCGGCACAACAATGACGGTGCGTGTAATTATTTTGAGAATTCTTTTTAA